AAGAAAAAAAAAAGGAAAAAAAAAAAAGAAGAAAAAACCAGCAAAAAACAGGTTGAAGGTTTTTTATTAATTTAAAAATAATAAAAAAACCCAAAAAAACCACAAAAACAAAATCACTTTTTTAACAGTAACTGTCCCTGCCTTTTCTCTCTCCTGGGAGGATGTCCCTGGCTGGGCACTGAGAATGGGGGTGACCCCCCCCCACACGCTACAGTGTCACCAGTGGGGACTGGCCCTCCCCAGGAGCTGCTCTGAGTGTCCCCCACTGCAGAAGGGCCACCAGCCCAAGGCCACTGTGCTCCTGCAACAACTACCTGGGGTAGAAACCCCCAGAATGGGAACACAGCAGATCTGGATGCCAGGAAAGGCTGAACGGCTCAAAGCACAGTGGCAAAGCAACCCCCAGGGATGGAGAGACCCCCAGCATGGCACAACCTCCAAGGAGAAAAGGCAAAAATCCCCCATTGGGGGCTACTCACGTGCAGCAGAGAGCATCCAGGGAGGGATGTGAGGCCGGGGTGTGTTTAGGGGGGGTGCAGGGGGTGTTAACAGGGTGCAGCTGGGTCCCAGGGGCTGCAAGTGGGGCAGGGTGTGGGAGAGGTGCTGAGCCGCAGGGATAATGAGTATCAAAGGGGTCACCCCAGCTAGGCCACATCCTGCAAATGCAATTAGTCCCCGGGGTGTTTTTCAGCCCCTCAGCCCCACCCAGGGGTGCAGGATGGTTCTTTGATGGCTCTGCTCTGGGGCCTGGTGGTTTGCTCAGAGTGCTCCCAGTTATTCTGCTGCCAGGTGGTACTGGGGGGGACCCCAGATCCTGCTGTATCCACCTCAAAACCACCATGGTTTTGAGCACCCATTTTTTTCCCCCTGAAGAAGCAAACCCACCAAGGAAAACATTCGGGGGGGGCTCCCTATGGACTAAGGTGCCTGTGGAGCACAGTAGGGTGGACAGGGATGGAGTCTGTCCCTGTGGCAGAAGGTTTGTGGGCTTCCCCCTGCAGTCTGGGGAGAATATTCACCAGGAGACCAAGGTTGCCATGGGGCAGCCCCCGGGGACACACCACGGGGGTTGAGGGGATGTTCCCACGAGCTCTGGGGTTTCCCTCCGTGTTTCTCACCCTCCCACTCGTCTGAGAGGTGCCATCAGCTTTGTGTTCCCCCACACACACACGTGTGCAGGGGGGACAACCTCGGCCACGTGTCCCCAGCCGAGAGACCGCCCAGTGATGCTCATCCCATGGGATAACCGACAGCAAACCAGCGGGCTTGGGGTGGAATTCGCTTTTGGCATTAACCCGTGTCCTGCTGCTGCTGTTCCCACTGAGGTCCCCCTTTCCCACTGCCTCCCTGGAGGCAAAGGAACATCCTCGTTCTGCTGCACCACCCGGCACCCCCAGACCTCCTTTGAGGCCAAATGCTCCCCTGGCAGGGGCCAGGGGGTGCACGGGGCTGACAAAGACCCTGGGAGGTGCTGTTTCCAGCTCCTTGTTCAAGAGGGGAAGATCATGATCCAAGGTCACTCCACTCAGGAGGCACAGGTGCTTGGCTGCTCGTAGCCCTTTACTGCAGATTGGAATAGCTTGCTCCTTCCATCCAAGACCCCCTAGGAGGCTTGCACTGCCGGCCCCGGTAGACGATTCCATCCCTGCCCACCAGGTCAAACACGCCGGGCTGGGAAGGAGAGAGGGGGATGGCTGGAACTCGGGGCTGCATTCAGCATCCCCAAGCCAGCCTCCCTACCCAGCTCTTCCGAGGGGAACCGAGGCACGGATACCCCCCGGAGATGCTCAGCATCACCCTCCCAGCCTCCTCTGCCGCAGCCTGTATCCCCACCCTCATCATCCCTACCTTGCTGGGGTCCGGGAGGAGGGGCTCCATGGGCTGCACTGGGCAGATGCTGGTGTGCCGGCCCCCACAGTACATGGGGGATCTGCGGGAATAGCCCTCTGCCTGCTCCCTGTGGGATGGAGCACAGGGATGCTCAGTGCTCAGCACAGGGCACCCCGTGTTTCACCCTGCTGTGCCAGGTTGGGGGGCAGGGGGTGCTCCCCTCCAGCTGCTGCAGGAGACCCGTGCCCGTCCCGCCCTGCAGGGATCTGCCCTGTCCCCCACAGCCCCGGAGGGCTGGCCGTGGCCATGGCAGGACCCTGTGCCCTCAGGAGGCAGGAGCTGGGCTGTCCCAGCTGCAGGGCTTGGCTGGGGGAGCTCCTTCACAGGAGCCACCCGAGTCCCCGCCAAGCCCGAGCTCAGGCAGAGACCAGGCACAACTCATCACATGTGGCTTCGGTGCCATCGAGACAGAGACCTGGGCTAGGACAGGGTGGGGCTGTAAAACCTTCTGAGCCGGGGCAAGCCCAGCTGACCCTCCACAGCCCTCCCCTCCTCCCG